CCTTTGGGATTTCTCCTTTGAATGTTGTGATTTGCCTAATCTCTGATCTGGAAGGGTCCTTAGAGGGTGCTTATTCCACCGTCTTATTTGAGGTTGGACGTCCAGGTGAGGTCATTAGAAACCGAGGAAGGGAAAGGACACGTTCTGGCCGAAGGCCAAGCCCTGGGGCCCTCTTCTCAGCCCAATGTCCTGCCTGTGCTTCTCGGTTGCCTTCCCGAGGCACTAACGCCTCCTTTTTATGTAGCAAGTGGGGTGGGGAATGAGTGACTCCCAACTGAAAGATGCCCATTGCAATAATTCTGCGGCAACCTTTGCGCTCAAGGATGAATGGAACAATCGAAAACAAACACAAAACAAAACTCGAGCAATGCCTGGTGTTGGTGAGAGCCGTTGCCAGACGATCTGTGATTGTGAGGTCACTAGCTAAGCTCTGGGCTGTCCTAGGGGCTGGGTTCCACCTTAGCCCAGCAAGCATTTGCTTACTGGACGCCCTGTGTTTGCGGCAGGGTAGATTTATGATGATGCAGTGGGTCCATGGTCAGCCGACCCTTCCAGTTGCTCCGAGACGAAAACTGCTACGAGGACGTTATGGTGCAGACTCACCCAGTCACCTAGGGGAGGAAGTGAGTTCTTAGAAATGTTTTGGCGGACGCCTCTGTCGTTATACTTTGAGCACTTCCCCAATTCACGTGGAAAGGGAAACCCAGATATGAGGAAAATCTTCCCCGTGAGGACACATGAAGTGGGGTGCATTTGGTCAGTCATAGTTCTGGAGGTGTGTTCATGTCACCTGGATGGTTTGGGTTCGCTTGGGTGTTTACCTGAAGACCTGAGATGCCTCTTAGGAATCTGTTCATTGCTGAATGTCTGGGACAATGAACCCAAGTTCCTGTTCTCTGAGACAGAGAGGACAGGATCAGTAAACAGAGGGATAGCCATTACTGAGCCATTTTGGCAAGAAGTGTGGAAGTGTTCAGAGAGAGGGCTCTGTTAGGATAGTGCATGGACGTGGGGTAGGGAAGAGGATGGTCAGGAGGATGCTGGACAGCGACGTTTCCGTTTGGTCCTCAGCTCAGCGCTCAAGGTGCTGAGAGAGGCCGGACAAGGACCTGCCCGGACTCTTCCTTGCTGCACCCGGCTCTGCCCACTTTGTACTTGTCCACGGGCCTGCTGCCCCAGGTCAGGTCAGTTGCATTTATCAGAGCCTGGCTGAAGGTTTTGCCAAGTTGTGCTACACAGACAACCTTGTAGGGTTGGCTGAGGAAGGTCTTTTATGGAGAACCTCTGGGGTATTTTGAGATATATCCGAATACTTCGACAACTATCTAAAACCCAATACTTTAATCTTGTTCAGTATTGGTGATGAGATGATTTCAAATTGCTTTTGGACTCACAGACAAATACTTTTATAAGGGCAAATGTCAGAAAATATTTATCTTACCCACACACAAACATGGTCTTTTTTTGTATCAAGAAAGGCAAAATCCTCAGATCTTCTCCAGATACTAAGACAATGGAAAATACCAAAGGTCCCAGAGGAGTTGTGTGCAAGGACAAGCTACATAATGAGGCTTCTTCAACCTGGAAGAGTCCGAAGCCCCCACACCATCCTCACACTACTGTCAATCCACACACCAGAGTCAAAGTACAGCCCCAAAGTTTGAACGAGACTGTCTTAGAAGCATGAGTGTATGAGGAGTCACCCTCTAGTTGAACCTTATCTTTTACAGATGAAGAAGCTGAGGCCAAGAAAGAAAAGGGAGTAATTTTCATTATACTACACAGTAGTTTTTTTTCCCCATTCAAATTTGGAGTGCGGAGGAACCCCTAGGGTGATGTTATTGTTTTCCATTCCTTTATTCACTTCAGTGCCAAGCGCGGGAAGAGAGGTTGGCACACGCAGCGGATTGGCAGGGTGGTAGTCTCACCATGACCTCATTGTGAGAGCCCAGAGAGAGCCCAGATTTCAGCCTCCCCTCCTGGCCTTGAGGGCTGTCGTCAGCGAAGCTAAGACAGTAGCCACAACAGAGCGCCCTGAGCTGGAGGGCCATTCTTGCCGGACAGAGCGAAGGGAGCAAGTACTTCTGAACGCTTACCATGCGCCAGGCACACTGCTGAGTGCATATCTACCACATTATTTAAACTTCAGTCATCTCCTGGGACTATTCCAATGACAATATGCCTGATTTTCACACGCACAAAAGCTAAAGCTCAGAAATGCTATATAATGTTTCCAAATTCATAAAATCTGAGCAATCACCATTTGAACAGAATCTGACCCTGGAGCTGGACATGTGTGGCAATCAAGTTTGACCAGGAGGCTGGAGCCGGGCCATGGAGGACCGTGAACGGGGCCCTGTGGGGGTGTTTCTGGGCCGGGGGTAGTTGGCATGAGGTCATCAGGTATGGAGGGTGAGGAGGGTGATGGCAGGGCAGGGGGCAGGAGGAAGGACCATTTATTTGATTTCACAACATACTTAGTCTGAATGGTGTTGTTGCTCGGTGGGGACGTGTGTCCATTGCTAATGCCGAGCAGCCTTCAGGAGGAGGAACAGGAAGCCCCAGGCTGGAGTTCCAGCAGCTTCTACCCAAGAGAGGAAGTCAGGTCTGCTTTCCTGCTGCCTCCCAGCCTCTGGGTCTCAGAGGATGTCCCCTCGGCTACTGCCACCCGTGCATCATCAGGGCACTTCAGAAACAGTGGCAGATTTCTTTGAATTGCAGAAACCATGTGGAGATTTGCAAAGTCAGTCAAATAATCCAATCACGAGGGCTGTCAGACCCGAGGGCTTGACGTAAGCTTGGGGATGAGGAGGCCCTGCCTTTTTCCTCTTTTGTTAAAATTGACTTAGGGTTGCAACTTCCGAAACCTGGATTGTGGATAATTAGTGCTGAAAGTGATATGTTGATCTAGTAATTAAAAATTTTTTTTTTTATCCTCACCCAAGGACGTTTTTCCATTTTTGTTCAGATAGAGAGGGAGGGAGAGAGAGAAAGAGAGGGAGAGAAACGTTGACGTGAAAGGGACACATCGAGTGGCTGCCTCCCGCACGACCCCAACCAGGGCCGGGGATGAACCGCAACTGAGGTACGTGCCCTTGACCAGAATCGAACCCGTGACTCATTGGTCCGTAGGCCGACGCTCTAATCACGGAGCCAAACCGGCCAGGACGATCTAGTAATTTTTAAAGACGAGCAAACTGATGTCTAGAGAAGTTATGAAACTTGCCTACGATGACATGATTCCTGGCTGGCTGAGCCAAGCCTCTCTGAGTTTAAGGAAGTGGCCGCTCATCCCGGAGCGACTTGCTTGGACAGCGGGGGCCTTTGTTTACCCCGGGGATCGGGGTGATGGGGTCATATGCTTTCTAAGAGGCCTTCCTGCAGAACATTGCATAAAGGATACCAGTTCAGCCCTGAGCAGCGGTTCAGAAAGAGGAAAGAGCCAAAGACCTCCCGTCAACCGAGGCGCGTGTGTGTCCCCATGTGCCCAGCCCTGCGCACAGGGCCCAGAAGGTCTCCCCTTTCGGGCTCCGAGGCTGTTGGCTCCCGGGTCCCAGCTTGGCGAGGCTGGTGCTTTGATTTCGGGAACCAGGGGATTCCTCCTCGGCGTGGGCAGTGGCCAGAGGAATCCCCTTGACTGTAGCTGCCAGTGTGCCAGGCAGTGGGAGGCAGGGATTCCGCACCCCAGGGCGTGAAGACAAACCCCTCCTCGCGGCTCATCAGGACCGTCAGCCAAGAAGCGTCCTGCGTCCTGCGGGAGAGGGCTGTTGTTCTTGGCAGGTGCCAGGGAAGCCCGCCCCCTTCCCGAGTTCCCTTTTGAGTCGGTGATGTCAGCAGATGGTACAACAATGTAAAAGGTTTAGAAAGGTCAACCATGAAAAGTGACGCCCCTTCCGTTTAGGGTTTCAGTCCCTCTCTCCAGAGGTGGCCGGCCGGGCCCTGCGGACCCTCTCAGACAGATCCAGAGCCCTGCAGACATTCTTTTCCCGTTTCAGTACGCAGTGGGAGACTTTGGACATGATTTTCCCTTTGGCTATTTTTTTTTTTTTTTTGCTTCGCGTTGTTTAGACTTTGCTCCTTACTGGACTTCGTTGTGTGTTTCACCGGCAGCTTATTGCAGCCCTGGCCCCCCAGGCTTCTCGTCCTTCTTGCTGTTGGAGACTCTCTGGGCTCCTTCCCTTGAGAGGGAGGGAAAACCCGACGTGAAAAGTGCGCTGTGCTCACCTCCGCCGAACTCTGAAGGATCCCACCAGCGTGCATTGCCTGTATGCCCTGAAAATAAGGCACTTTTAGTCCTGCACTGCAGCCAGGAAGCTTCCAGAATCCACATCGAGTGCGAGCTGGGAGTCTGGGGCCGTGGGGGATTGGTCGGTCACAGCCTTCTTCATGAGGGGACGCATCTCAGCAACCGAATCGATTTCTTTTTTTTAAATTGTTTTCTTTATTGATTCTAGAGAGAGAGGGAGGGAAAGAGAGAGAGAGAGAGAGAGAAACATTGATGAGAGAGAACATCGACTGGCCGCCTCCCGCATGCCCCCCACTGGGGATCTGGCCCACAACCTGGGCATGTGCCCTGACCGGGAATCGAACCAGCGACCTCTTGGTGCAGGGGTCAACGCTCAACCACTGAGCCACACCGGCCGGGCCTGAATGGGTTTCTCGACAAGATGACTATTAAATGCTCTGTTACCCTAAATGGGAAATTGGGACTCAGTGAGCCAAAGCAGTGCACCAGAGGAGAGCTACCCAGGGCTGAGCATGGATCTTAGATGTTTTACGGAAGAGCAGGATGTGCTTAACTGAGCTTAAGAGACGGTACAGAAAAGCCAGGGGACCAGATGGATAGTCTGTGTCTAATCTTCATGGAAAAAACCAAGTCCCTGGCAAGAGGCACCTTCTCTCTCTAGGCTACCACATTACTGTTTCATTGACTACGATGTGTGAATCCCACTTGTTCACAATTTTATTTCCCTAAAAATGTATTCTTTTTATTCCTGCAGGTGCCGCCTAAGTACCCTCCAGTTCAGAGTATCAGAGTACAGTATATCCGTGAGTACTGTTGGAAGTTTGATCTTTTTTTTATCCTCACCCAAGGACATTTTTGCATAGAGTGAGAGGGAGAGAGAGAGGAAGAGAGAGAGAGAGAAACATCGATGTGAGAGAGACACATAAACTAGTTGCCACCCACATGACCCCAGCCGGAGCAGGGACAAACTGCAACCGAGGTACATGTCCTTAGCAGGAATCGAACCTGGGTCTCTCTGGACCGCGGCCGACGCTCTGACTGCTGAGCCAAACCGGCCAGGGCAGGAAGTTTGATCTATTTAAGGAATCTTCTCTCTACTGTCTTAATTTTCTCCAGCACACACGGTCTGGCCCCTCTCAGGGAAGCGTTCAATCCTGGAGTTGCTGGACCCTGCGTGTTGTTTTGGCTGCGGACAAAGAAGGCATGCAGAGGAGAAAAGAGGAATCATTAGTCACCAGACCTGTGCTTGCCACTGTGTTAATTCCTTTAGATGCCTCAAATGCTTCTGGGAACCCTCTGAATAGAAATTATTCTTATTAAATTTTTTTTGTGTGCGCCCTGGCCATTTTGGCTCAGCCGTTGGAGTGTCGGCCCGAGAACCAATGAGTTGCAGATTCGACTCCGGTCAAGGGCCTGCACCTCAGTTGCGGTTCATCCCCGGCCCTGGTCTGGGTCGTGGGGGGGGGAGGGGCAACCAGTCAATGTGTTTCTGTCACATCGATGTTTCTCTCTCTCTTCCTCCCACTCTATATGAAGATCAATGGAGAATATCCTTGGGCGAGGACTGACACTGGAGGATCTTCTCCATTGATTTTTAGAGAGAGGGGAAAGGGGGGAGGGGGAGAAGGAGAGAGAGAGAAACATCGATGTGAGAGAGAGACATCAACTGGTTGCCTCCCAGGCCCTGACCAGGGCTGGGGATGGAACCCGCCATCCAGGTACGAGCCCTTGCCTGGGAATCAAACCCATGACCCGGTGGTAAATGCTGTTGGGAAGTGCGGCGCCCGGGCAGGTGAAGATGAGCGCTTCTCCATCGAGTGGAGAGGAACGAGGGAAGCACTCGGAGCGAGGCTTTGCGCGGGGAGGTGCGCGGGGCCCCCAAGCAGCCCTCCAGCACCCTCTGTTGTTGTCAAGTTATTGGCAAGAAGGAGGCCCCGCCGTTGCCAGTCCCTCCTGGTTCTGAAAATCAGGGAAACCTCCAAGCTCCATTTCCTGCGGCAGGTCCGCAGGTCCGCGTCTGTTCCATCTCTGACCTCTCAGCTCCGGACTCCCAGCCCCACGAGGAACTGTCCTGGGTGCTGGCGCTGACCCGGACCCCTCTTCCATCCACAGGCAGAGTTCAGTGCCCGCCTCCCCGATCCTTCTCACCGTCTCTCCCTACCGCTGTCTCCCCGCATGTTCCCAGACATATCGGAAGGTTGTTGCCCAAAGCTGTGCTAAGGAATCATTCTTTTTCTTCTTGTCCTACCTTCCCTAGGGTGTGAAAATGAGAAAGGTTTCATCCTCATGCCCCCAAGGAAGGAGGAGATCATGAAGGTGCAAGACAACGCCATCCCCATCATGTGTGATGGTTTTTATCTCGTCTCCCTGAAGGGCTTCTTCTCCCAGAGGCTCAGCCTCAGCCTTCACTACCGGGAAAACCAGCCCCCGCTCTTCTCCCTGCACTGGGTCACGTTTGTCAACTCCATGACTGTGGTCCCTCTGGGCTACAAGGACAAAGTCTACTTGAATGTGACCACTCACAATACCTCCTGCCAGGACATCCAGGTGAACGGTGGGGAGTTAATTCTCATTCATCAAAATCCTGACGAGTTCTGTGTCGAATGAAGACCCGATGGCCACATTTGAGCCCGGCACCCAGCAGGAAGGCCACGCCGGGGGTGGACAGGACACATTCTGCTGATTCTTCCTTGGGCGTGGAGGACTCGTCCCAGCTCAGCCCCCACCTACGGCCGCAGAGGATGTGGCCAGGAGAAGATTCCCCCACCCCCACTCAGGGATATTTAAGACTTATTTTACATATCATTTGACTTTATTTATCTTCCTCTCTGCTCAGTCACCTAGTCCCCATCCCTCACAGTCGCCTCAAGCGTGGGATGCTTCTCAGCAGGACAAGAAAAGCATCTGCCTTAAGACTCATTGTTTCTATCGGTCAAAAAACTGTCATAATACACTTGCCTAGACACTGGACTGTCACTTGCTGGAAATCTGACATCTGGCACTGTGAGAATGAAGGGGACCCGGGAGGGGCGACGGACTCGCAGCAGGTGGCGTGGACCTGCCCTGGCCGTCGAAGCTGCCTCTCGACACGGTGGCAGGTGGCGTGCTGCCCGAATACCTCTCACTGCGCCAAGTGAAGAAGGAGAATCAACTCCTGAACAGCTGCGTGGACTTGGTGAAGACAGGCAGCTAAGGGTTACTCTGTGCTCCGGGCTTCTTCCCTTTACCACTTTGCTTTCCCGGCCTCCAAACGTTCTTAATAGAAATTCCTCCCCCCAGAGGAAACCATCCTGGGCGCATGATGCTGTGGAAAATCAAGCTGGTGATCGATCAGGAGGAATTTAAACAGTCGGGGAGGGAAGCACGCTCTTTGCCACTGACAGGCGAAGGGACGGGTACGCACCCTGCAGCTTCTGTTGATGACCCAGCCCCATGCCTTGGACGCACACACCACATTGCTCGTTTCAGAAAGGAAGCAATTCTATTTCAGATGCAACTTTATGTCGGAGACCCTGAGAACCTGTTAGATGTTATGAAAAACAATCATCTTTATCTAGAAACACCCCGAGGTCACCTATGATCTCACATCGATTACTGAGACTAGAAGAGCCCATCATCCGCCAACGCCAAGGCTTTTCAAGGAAATGAGATCCCCTTATATTTGGCTTGACTGTTCCTCTCAATGTATCAGGCTTACGGCGTTGCAGACGAATGCAATTTTTCATAAGTCAAATTTCTAGATAATGTGTGTGTTCTCAGATTTTTGCCGAAATCTGTTTTCATGGCCGCCCATTTTCCCCTGCCATTTAAAATAGAGCGCACAAAATATCACAGACTTTCTCTGGGTGATTCTGTGTCATCGTGCTGTGCTGAGACGCAGAGACGTCTCCATACTCTCTGGAACGATGGAAGGCAGTTGGCCCTGCGCTAGATGGTCGCCATCACTTGTGAACTTCCCCCCCATCTGTTTAACATAGTTTTTATCTCCTCATAGGTGTCTAATTCCAATTATATTCCCACCCTTGTATTTTAGTCTGTTGTGGAGACATAAATTCGTGCTAAATAAAAAGAAGCTAAATAAGAGAAACTGTGCCTCAGGTAAGAGTAACCAAGCCCTAATGGTGGCCAAGGCACTCACGCAATCATAATCATAACTGCAGGGGACATTTATGAAAGACCGACTGTGGACCAGGCATTGGGCTAAATGCTTTACACGAATTGTTCTGAGCAAGGTATTCTGTAAACTGACTACTCAGAGGATGGAAATGTGTGTGTGTGTGTGTATTTCCTTGCTATTGACTGTGGTCTGCAAAGTTGATGTTACACAGTGAGTGATATCTAATAAGTAAATGTTTATGACTATAGATAATATTTAAGAAAACATGTTTACTTTTTTAAGTTTGGAATTTCTTTTTTTAAAATTTTTATTAATTAATTTATTTTTGTTAGATGTTTCTCCCTTCCCCCCCCCGACACTCTCCCCCTGACCCTGCAACCCCTACGCCCGCCCCAAGCTTTGTCATCTATGTCCATTGGTTACACATACACGCATATAAATTCTTTGGTTTATCTTATCCCTCTCCCCTCCTCTCAGGTTTGTCAGTCTGAATTGTACTCCTTTCTATGTCTCTGGGTCTATTTTGTTCATCAGCTTGTTTTGTTCATTATATTCCATGAATAAGTGAGATCATGTGGTATTTGTCTTTCTCTGCTTGGCTTATTTCACTTAGCATAATACTCTCCAGATCCTTCCATGTCATCTCAAAGGATAAGAGATCTTTCTTTCTTACAGCTGCGTAGTACTCCATTGTGTATACGTACCACAGTTTTTTTACCCACTCATCTATTGATGGACACTTGGGCTGTTTCCAGATCTTAGCTATTGTAAATAGTGCTGCTATGAACATGGGGGTACATATATTCTTTCTGACAAATTTTCAGGCTTCTTAGGATATATTCCTAGAAGTGGGATCACTGGGTCAAATGTCAGTTCAATTTTTAATTTTTTGAGGAAACACCATATTGATTTTCATAGTGGCTGTATCAGTCTGCATTCCCACCAGCAGTGTACTAGAGTCCCCTTTTCTCCACACCCTCGCCAACACTTGATGTTTGATGATTTGTTGATGGCAGCCATTCTGGCTGGTGTGAGGTGATACCTCATAGTCATTTTAATTTGCATCTCTCCGATGATTAGTGACATTGAGCATTTTTTTAAATGTCTTCTGGCCATTTGTAAGTCCTTTTTCGAGAGGTGTCTATTTAGGTCCTCTGCTCATTTTTAATTGGATTACTTGTCTTCCTTCTATTGCGTTGTATGAGCACTCTATATATTTTGGAAATTAACCCCTTATCTGATGTATTGTTGGCAATTATGCTCCCCCATACAGAGGGTTTCCTTTCCATTTTGATGGTTGTTTCTTTTGCTGTGCAGAAGCTTTTTAGTTTAATGTAGTCTCATGTATTACTTTTTTTCCTTTGTTCCTCTTGCCTTAGGCATTGTATCAGTGAAAATTCTGCTGTGTGATGTCAGAAATTGTCTTGCCTACATTTTCTTTTAGGATTTTTATGGATTCATGAGTCACATTTAAGTCTTTTATCCATTTTGAGTTTATTCTTGTGTATGGTGTAAGTTGGTCCAGTTTCATTTTTTTGCATATAGCTGTCCAGTTTTCCCAACACCATTTATTAAAGAGGCTGTCTTTATTCCATTGTGTGGTCTTGCCCCCTTTGTCAAATATTAATTGAGCATACTGTCTTGGGTCAATTGCCGGGTTCTCTGTTCTGTTCCATTGATCTATATGCTTGTTCTTGTGCCAGTACCAGGCTGTTTTGATTACAATGGCTTTGTAGTATAACCTGATATTCAGTATTGTGATCCCTCCTACTTCGTTCTTCTTTTTCAAGATTGCTGTGGCTATTTGGGGTCTTTTTTGGTTCCATATAAACTTTTGGAGTGTTTGTTCTAGTTCTGTGAAATATATCATTGGTATTTTAATGGGGATAGCATTGAATCTGTAGATTGTTTTGGGTAGTATGGACATTTTAATGATGTTAATTCTTCAAATCCATGAAGAAGGTATATGATTCACTTTTTTATATCTTCCTCTATTTCTTTTCTCAATGTCCTGTAGTTTTTTGTGAACAGGTCCTTTACTTTTTTGGTTAAGTTTATTCCTAGGTATCTTAATTATTTTGCTGCAATAGTAAGTGAGTTTTTTTTTTTTAGTTTCTCTTTCTGTGAGTTCATTATTGGTGTATAAGAATGCTGTCAATTTCTTGATGTTAATTTTGTATCCTGCTACTTTGCCAAATTTGTTGATTAAATCTAGTATATTTTTGATGGAGTTTTTAGGGTTTTCTATGTACAATATCATGTCATCTGCAAATAATGACAGTTTCACTTCCTTTCCAATTTGGATCCCTTTTATTTTTTCTTTATGTCTAATTGCTGTGGTTAGGACTTCCAGTACTATGTTAATAAGAGTGGCGAAAGGGGGCATTCCTGCCTTGTTCCTGTTCTTAAGGGAAATGCTTTTAGTTTTTGCCCATTGAGTATGATGTTGACTGTAGGTCTTTCATATATGGCCTTTATTACATCAAGATATGATCCTTCTATCCTCACTTTGCTGAGCATTTTTATCAGAAATGGGTGCTGGATTTTGTTGAATGCTTTTTTTTTTAGCATCTATTGATAATGATCATATAGTTTTTATCTTTCATTTTGTTTGTGGTATATCACATTTATTGATTTGCAAATATTGTACCAGCCGTGCATCCCTGGGATGAATCCCACATGGCCATGGTGAATACCTTTTTCAGTGTATTGCTGGATCCAATTTGCTAATATTTTGTTAAGGATTTTGGCATCTATGTTCATCAGGGATATTGGCCTGTGGTTTTCTTTCTCTGTAGTGTCTTTATCTGGTTTTGGAATTAGAATTATGTTGGCCACATAAAACGAGTTTGGAAGTACTCCTTCTTGAATTTATCGGAATAGCTTGAGGAGAATGGGTTTTAGTTCTTCTTTGAATGTTCAGTAAAATTCCCCCATGAAGCTGTCTGGGCCTGGGCTTTTGTTTGCTGGGAGAGTCTTGATTATATCTTCAATTTCCTTAGTTGTTATTGGTCTGTTCAAGTTTTCTCTCTCTTCCTGGTTCAGTTTTGGGAGACTAGGTGTTTCTAGAAATTTTTCCATTTTGCCTAGATTGTCCAATTTGTTGGCATATAATTGTTCATAGTATTTGTTTATGATCCTTTGTATTTCTGTGGTGTCAGTTGTTACTTCTCCTCTTTCATTTCTGATTTTGTTTATTTGGGTCCTCTCTCTTTGTTTCTTGGTGAGTCTAGCTAAGGGTCCATCAATCTTGTTTATCTTTTCAAAGAACCAGCTCTTTGTTTCATTGATTTTTTTTTTTTTTTTTAGTCTCTATGTTGTTTATTTCTGCTCTAACCTTTACTAATTCTCTCTTTCTACTTGCTTTGGGTTTTTATTTTTGTTTGCTTTCTAGTTCTTTAAATTGTGATGTTAGATAGTCAATTAGACATTTTTTTGTTGTTGTTGTTTCTTGAGGTAGGCCTGTAGTGCTATAAACTTCCCTCTCAGG